AGGTGCTGGCTTTTGTCTTAGTAAATCTTATCGAGCTTACACTGTAAATTTGAATTTAAGATTACAAAAGAAAAAGATTTAGGCAATATCTGATAAGCGGCCTCTTTCTAAGGGTTGCTCTGGGATTCAGTTGTAAGTTGTGGAGAATCTCTGCCCGCCAGGCTACCCGTTCGTGATCACGTTCAGCTCGGCTACGACGGGATATGCATTATCGACGGAGGCGATGATCACAAAATTCTATTCCCGGACTCGCCGCTACGATTTAGCGCCATGTTTTTGGTATCGCCTAAGACCGTAGCGTTGTCCATCTCCCTACTCATCTGTGACTGAATTGTATAGATGTACTATAGACAAGAAAAGAACAAGAATCCAAAAATATAATCTTTCTCGAATTTTTAGGTTTTAAATTAATTTTACGACTATTTGGTTTGTCTATGACGCAGTTTATTATACAATTACAGTATATTACTAATGGTATAATGTTAAATGATAATGAATGGGCAATAATAATCGTAATTAATAATGGCGTGTCTAGCGTTAACATTAACTCTTTTACGATTGATATGATTTTATTTATACACCACCAACGTATTCAAAATTCTAGAAATTCACCAATCACGCTTTAGTACTCCTGACGAGAAGAACAAACCCGGGAGGACATTAAAAACAAAAAAGATTTCTAAATCTCGAAATCCTCTTGTCTATCATGGATAATACAAATTTCACGCATCTTCTACGTCACCAGCACCAAATGCGCGCACAGTAATTTCACAACTCTTAGTACAAAATAATGAAACACTTTGAATTAGGATTTCTTGCCATTCTCTTTTTTGGCCATGTTTTTTTCCTCCATCTTATCGTCTTACGAACTATTTTACCGTGCTCTTTTTTTTTTTTTTTTCTTTAACCTTAACGTAACACATTTTCATCTCCGACGTCACTTTCCACTCACGCAATTCTTATTTTGTTCTTCGTATTATTATTCCTCAAAAATTTCATCTTGCGCTCGTAGCGTCGTATTCTAATAGAAAAAAGACAGTCGTCTTGGCGTCGCGACGCCGCATCATACACACGTACTCCCTAATACGAATTACACATCGACCTTAATAAGATTTTAATTTTTAATCCTATATCTCTCGATGATAATTTATAATTACTGCTTTCGTTAATTATGTGGCTATTGGTATACCAGAATGTGTATCGTGAGTGTGTATGTGTTTCTTTTTGTTTTTTTTTTCCATTTTTTTTCCCCCTTCAATCTCATTCACTTTCGTAATGACATCTAAAAATCGGTACAGGAGTCGCAAGTACACAGTGCGTCAAGTTTTAAATGACTAATCAATTACTCGTATTTACATCGTTAAGAGGATTTTGGGTCGTTCTTAATATATTTGTTGCGATTTCAAAAATTTCCTCTCGTAACCTTACAATTTTCGAAACGCAAGTCACTATTTACAAGTGTATAATCTTTCCGTTGAGATCCCCCAAGTACCGGAGCAAATTAAGAAACGCCTGAAAACAAAAGTTGCCATAAATTAAAATCAAGCTTTAAATCGAATACAAAATTAGGATGGGACAAGGAAAGAGATAAATAAGAAAAAAAAATTATCAAAAGACTATCAAGAACAAACTGAAATCTCTATATCGTTTTTATTTTGAAATAATAAAAGTTAAAATTATAATGAAATAATATTAATAATAAATCGTCGCTACGATAATGTCTCTAGTCGGGGTCGGGCGGGGTTGTCGGAGTGGCGAAGGGTAGGTTGGTTGTCGCAATCTTTACAACCGGCATGAAATTTTTCCGAAAAACATTACGACCATACTTTATTAAGGGATGCTCCATTTTCAATCTTACCCCCGATATCAGCCATCCTCTTATCGCCGATACCACAAATTTCCTTACAGTACAGCGCTAGGGGTAATTTCGCTTTTCCTTCGTTAATTATCTACAACAAGACCTCGTTAGAGCAATTGCCCGCCGCTCAGTCGATTCGACCTCTCACCTCCAAAATTTTCTCTACACTTTAAAAGTCCCTTCTTTCTTTTTTTTTTCGCGTCGTCCAATGCGCGTCATTCACATCCACACACGATTCATACCCATACAAATACATGCTCCATTTTTTTTTTTTAATTACAATCACTAATTACCCTTGCACTTGCACATACTCTCAACTATACACATACGCACAGTCCATTCCCTCCTATTGGCTGTCACAAGTCATTCGCACCTTTTCTTTCTCTTTTTCTTTTTTTTTTCCCCTCTCTCTTCCGTCTCCCATTTAATCTTCGTTTAGGAACTTTTGTTTTCGTTTTACTATACTTGGTCCACGACTCTGGAATTCGATTCGCGCGTTTGAAACTAAAGAAGAAAAAAAAACGATATATATCACCCTTTTACACGTATGCACATACCCTTCACATACTCCATACACTCTGTCAGGCTCACGTGCAAATATTCACAGGGGATGAAACGCACATTGTCCTCGTCGGTGCACGTCTACGCGGAGGAACAGCGCGTCCCATTTTTATAAAAAATCTCACAATGTACACGATAATAATAATTATTATTACATATTAATTAAAAGGTTGGCTTATCAGTGTAACGCGAAAAATTCGCCGGCACGATTTAAACGATGCGCCAGACGCCGTGATCATTACTCCCGTCTTTCGTCTAGTTGTCTTTTATACCTCTTACTATTTACAATACATTTATTTATATATTTATATATGTATATATTTTATGTAACGTACAATCAGATACGCGTGCTTACTGGTAGTATTGATATAGTCCCTATTTCTTTATTTTTTTTTATATATAATTTATAGAGATGCTTATGCGCGGTTTACATGCATATATATATATATGGTATATATACATATTCTGTATATATATTTTTGTATATATATATATATATGCATGCCATTCATGGTTGTTGTTCGTCGACAGGCGATAATTAAAGGAAACATAGAATTTCGTAACACCGGGTTACATTCACCACGCGAGATGAAAAATAAAAAAAAATAAAAAAACGAAATCGGTGATATACTTCGTAATCGCATGGATCCGATACCAGTTTTTTGGGATAGATTTACAAAAAAAAAAAAAAAAAATGTCCACCGTGAAATATGAAACTCGGAAAATTTGTACTTGTTCTAAATAGAGAAAAGATTGATGTGATATACTATGAAGTAATTAATTAATTAATGCGTATGGCGAGTTTTGGTTGTATTTTTTTTTCTGGTAATCGATTCTGCAATTTCGTTTTCTTTTCATTTTTTTTTTTTTTTTTTTCTTTCAATTTTGACTATCGCAGTATCCGATCAGTCATTAATGTCAGTTGCTGCTGATATTGATTGTTAAATTTAAAACGATCTGTATCGTACGTGTCACTGCATTAGTACAAACTGATCGGATTTTGTCGCGTTTCTATTAAAGTTTACGTGACCCTGTTCTCAACGCGCGGAGGACCTTGAATTTTGGTCGATTTGGAATTAAATAGTTCGTCGAGGGAAGTCAAGTCATTGGGGCATTCTGTACAAGTCAAGAGAAGGGGCTAACACGGGGAAATAAGGGTTGGGTTCACAATTGTCTTGCTACAGCCCTGGTTTTTCAAAGCTTTCGCAAGAGATCTTCGCGAACGACGTATCCTATTTACAAAAATTTGTGTCGTCTGTCATCTTCTTTAATACTACTTGACACCATTCGTAAAGGAAATCGAAAATTATTTCTTCTTTCGTATGAAAGTGATCGGAGCTATTTGATTTTCTATGATTTTCAAAGTGAAAGAGATAATCGTTCGATTTTGGAAAATGAATTTTTGAGGTGAAGTTTAAATTTTTTGGAATAACAATGAAAAATTACGTTTAATAAAACGCAAACTGATATACGTGAGTTGTACGTAAACGTGATATATGGCCATATCGAAATTTCGTATTTCTTATAAAAATGTCGAAACGGTCGTTATTTTTTTTTTTTTTTGAAAATTCTTTGTTTATCGGAAAAGAATCAATCGATCGTCTTATACGCAATCGATTGTCTCCTTTCGGACTATTCGAAAGTTCCAAAAATTATTTTCAAATTCGTAATACGAACAGTTACAACTATTATACATTTTGATAGTTACGCGAAGTAAGAAGAAGAAAAAATGAAGAATCAATAGAACAGCTCTCGCACGGCTCGCCGGAAGTCGCGTCGCATCGCATAGGAACTTTATACTCTTGGAAGACTGTGAGTCTGTATTATTGACACTGAAGAGTCGAAAAGAGAGCCTCTATCGGTACGTTACGTATATCTGTACGGATGAATTAGACTAATGTTACAGTAACAAAAAAAAAAACTAAAATATGTCATCACTCGCGAAAGCGTTATGTGAACCATATGGGAATGAGAGTTAACACTGGATAAATTGAGACACGATGAAGTTGAAGAAAATTTCAAAAATTTCGATTGCCCGATTGTACGTAAAAATTTGTGAAAATTTAGATGGTTAAAAAAGAGAAAAGAAAAAAAAGGAAACGTTCACCGGATTAACGATAACATTATTTTGGTCTGTCATGGTATTTGAGTACCGAATAACAAATACGAATAATCATAAATAGATGGTGCGATAATAATAATGAAATAAAATAATTAGTAGTTAATAATTAATACTTAATAGTTACAAATAGCGATAATAAGGTGGACAAGAAGTGGGTCTGGAACAGAAATAGGTACATTGTCTTGATAATTATTAATAACAATTAAATAAAGATTACGTAATTCGTTCTCTTAAGGTCGACTAAAGCCCTACGAGATCTTAGCCGTCACTATTTGTCTGGCGTATGGTACAGCCTGGCTGTCGCGTTAGAACGAGAAGAAGAAATAAGAGAAACGAGAATTAAAAAAAAATGTAGAACAATTTTTTTTGAGAATAAGGGAATACCCAAATTGACCGATGGCAGAGTACTTAAATAGTCAAGGAAAAAAAATTTGATTAAAAAATATTTCCGAGCGATTCCCCACGTACCCTTTTATTAATGTTCTCTAATTAATCAGTTATCTCTTATCTTCCCGTTTCGCTTTCGTTTCGTAAGTTCGATGGGAATATATATATAAAAAAAAAAGGACGCGTATCTTTGGGATCTTCCTTCTCGATTTGATATCGAATAATAATAATTAATGATAATGACAATACTAATAACCTTTTACTACCTATATACACAGTGATCGATATTATTATTCTGGGCGGACTCCAAGCCGGTTCAATTCACTGTTATTTACTCATTTTTTGGATTCCACAATCTTAAATTGTTCGTTTCCTGCTTTTTCTCCAAATTTTCTCGCCTTTGGATATCCTCTTCGTAGACTCTGGTTTCCGCGAGAAAAAAAAAAGAAAGATCGGTGAATTCTATGAGTTTCCGGCAAGAAGAGTCCAGAGTCTTCCGGTACCACCCAGAGTTTAGTCCTCCGGCGACGAAGGAAAGAAAAAGAAAAAGAAAAAAGAAAAAGAAAGAGACCGGTCTACCAATTAGCGATAGAACTCGGGGAGATTGCACAAGCGTCGTTGTTGATGATGTTGATGTTGTTGCTGCTGCTGCTGGTGATGATGACGATGATGATGGTGATGATTATAGAGAGCGTCCCCCTGTTGGGCCGCAGGCTGGTGTCACTCGTGGGACTTACCACCGAGTGGATGATAATTACCGCCTGCCGAGGCGACCAGCGCCAGCGGTAAGGGTGATCCTAAGGGTGTTGGATGAGGGTGGGAATGTCCCATCCCCGAGGAATGTGTCGTGAGTGCCAGTGGACTCCCGGACATCGAGCTGGCAAGGGATGCAAAGACTGAGGGTGCCGGTGACGCCATTGTGGGACTCCCCATGGCAGCCGTGGGGGGGTTGATTCTCTTTTCCTTCTGTCGCCTGGAATAGTCCCAATGTACATTCCTCTACTAATTTCTAATTGACGAAAATTGGACAAACGTCAAATTCCATAAATCTGACGTATCTTACCTGTTGCAGAACCAGACTCGCACCACTTCCTTCTCCATGGCTAAACTGTCGGCCAGTATCGTGATTTCTTCAGACGTGGGTTTGGGATTCTGCATGAAGGCCTTCTCCAGGGCGACCCGTACACTGGTCTCTATGGACGTTCGCTTCTTCCGCCGTCTTCCTATTGCCTCCGGGGTCGTCAAGGGGTTAGAGAGGGAATTGGGGTTGTTTAAAGAATTGTCCGCATCCTCGAGCCACTTCTGCAGGAGGGGCTTGAGCTTGCACATGTTCTTGAAAGACAGATTAAGCGCTTCGAACCTGTGAGTAGAAAAAAATTAATATTATTTTATATATTTTCAGGGAAGTTACTACTGACGAAATTGGCCTGGAGGTAAGCTTCACCTGGAGATCGTCGTCTGGGAAAAATCATTTCCATACAGCTTCCCCATAGCGAGGCCAACGTCACCCTGAGTGAAGCCGAGCTTGATCCGCCTCTGCTTGAACGTCTTGGCGAACTGCTCAAGCTCCTCCAGGTCTGTGGTCTCTTCGGGCGATGGTTCCAACCTGGTCGGGGGTGGTTTTACGGCAGGTGGAGTACCAGGGGGTGGTGGTGATCTTTGTTGTGCCAAATTCCTCCCCACCAAGCCACCTCCGCCCTGTAGCGCTTGCTGCTTCTGCAGGGCCTGTAACTGTTGTGCTGCCTGCGCCACTGCTTGTTGAACCTGTCGGTAAGAAAACTACCCTTAATGGAACTGAACATTTTACTCTCATTAATCAGTCGATTATTTTATTTATCTAGCGGTACAGGTTGTTCAGTAACGTTTTTAGTAACTTTAAGCAAGAATATATACGCTTGATAAGTAACGTGTACGAGAGATCTAGGGCCGTTACGTAATAATTCTGAACGACCTGTATACGACTGTACCTGCATGGACTGTGAGCGCGGATGACTTGGTCTCTGGGGGTAGCCACCGCTCTGCAACAGCCCCTGCAAGACGTCCATTTTATTATCGAAACGCGGTTCTTGTAAAAATTAAAAAAGAAAAATCTTATTTTTCTAGGGTATGTTCGAACGGTGTCATTCCTGTATGTGACGTCTCTAAGGGTGAGTTTGACGCTCGTGACAATAGCCTAGATGAACATACTTCGGAGATAGGTGAGTGAATGTTTACAGGTGAAAAGGGTTTAAAGAGGTCGGTAAATCGATTACCTTCGCCCTTTCCTTAACCGGTGGTTTCGACTTAAGGGTTGCGTGGAACGTGGCACCCTTTAGTAAAGGGTTTACCTCGTCTCACGATTCGGTCGCGTGTCACGTGGGGATAACGGGAGTTTATGCTTATTTGTTGAGAGACCCTGTGGGTAGCTTTTAAATTCAGCCACGTGGCTGGGGATACTACAGCACAGGTCTCGAATCTTCGTCACCCTTTTACCACCCTTTCTCTAAGGGCTCGTGTCTTTCTGGCGGTCGCGTGTCTAAAGAAATGCATTGCTGAGGGGGTTCTGGAAATTCCTTTGTGGAGTGGCCTTTCTCATTTTGTATACAAATTTCTATACCTCACTAGCTAACACATATAACATGGAATATAAAATGTGGCTAAACATTATTTTTTTGGAATAAAATAAAATTCCTGTAAGTCACAATGATTAACATTAATTAAACAATTTTCTGTTATATCCACATTATTTTACTTATTCACATTCATTATTGTTCATATAAAAATATTTGTGATAAATAAAAAATTCATCCTTAAATCAATGAAGATTATCAGAAAATTTCATATCCTTCTAGAAACTTTCATAAAATCCTACTTAACCCTTAACCACGAGCTAAAGTGTCCCGAAATTCCCTATAAGTAGTACCACGTGTCCTTTATACTCCGAAAATCAATGGTTCAATAAAAATATCACCCTTAATCTCTACGTAAGGTACCACTAGACAGGTATCTCGTGGCGAAGGGGTTGTTCAGTACTATAAGGGTGCAGAGGACTATAAATTAAGTATCCACTGGTAAGATACTTTTCATATAATAGAATCAGGATGCAACCCTTATGGTGCAACCTGGATTCGATGTTGGGGCAGGTCGTAGAGACCTTAAGGGAAGGATTGAAACCTCTCCTCGAGGGTTGAGACAACAAAAATAAAACGAAGGGTTTGCCAAAGACTTTGTACGTTCGTTCTCTACCCTTAGTCTTCCATGCGTATAAAAGAGAGTTTCACCCCACGAGCCACGTGTGACGTGACAAAGAAACTTTTTCAAGGGTAAGTAAGGTGCCCATAGGCTCTTACCCGAATGGTATCGAGCTACTGCCTCTTTCAAATTCACCATAATAACCCTCACTCAAGCGCGCACCCTTAAAAGGAACCACCCCGTTAATCTGTTAGATTCGATCCACCTTTCTTACTCCCATTCAAGTATACGTTGTTTCTTCTGAGACACAATAAAAAGAATCCGGACCTACCCCAATGTATTGATAGTTCATGTCATGGACATTAAGATCCGACACCCGATATAGCTAGGATCGAAAATCGACACGTGGTTAGGAAAAAAAAAAAAAAAAGAGAGAGAAGACTCTTTAAGGAAACGTGTACTGCTGGTACAGGATGATCAATCTCTAAGGGATGCTGATGGTTTCTTGCAAATAATCAGTAATCTTAATCAGATAACGAAAGCATTGAATTTTCTAGTTTCCGAATAATTTTAGTTATTGCTTGTGTAGATGGTAATCTAGAAAAAATTTTTTCTATGCTAACCTGATTCTGTAAGAAGAATTGCGCCTGCGCCGGAAGTTGTCCCGCTGCTGCTGGATTTGCCTGCTGGAACATGGCGAACTGTTGTAGCTGTTGCTGGAGGGACTGTTGTTGTTGTTGTAGCGTCGATGCGAGCGCCTGAATCTCCTGGGGACTTAAGGCCCCAAGCGATCCGTGCATCAGGAGCTGTTGACCGACTAATTGAGCCGCCAATGCCGCCTGGGAGCTTCCCGTGTTACCCGCGTGACTTCCGGTCAGTTGGCTACTCACACCGGAACTTGGCGAAGACGCGCTACCACTGGTACCACTGCTGCTATTCCGTTGCGAAACGTCCGTGACCTGTGAGTCGTGTAAAAATTTGTTAAAATCGACTCCTAATTCATTATTAATTTTCAATTTCTGAACGAAAAGGGGATTGGACTTAGGAGGTACCTACACTCTAATAATATTACAATGTAAACTCGCAGCAAACAAAAACTGTGTTTACACACATTCGAGTCCGAACATTGGTCACTATGGTCAATCCGTTTCTTTTGTGTTTTATAAAAATCAACCCTAAAGCCCCGAAGATTCCGCCATCTTGGCTTTCCATTTCGCCTTTTTTGTTGGTATCGCTTTATTCCCTCTCGTCCCTGGCCACCCTTATTTATTTGTCAAATATTGGACTTCTGTACTTTTTATGTCCTACCGTCCAAAAGCGTCCCGACGCAGGCAGCGTACAGCGTCAGGCACATTGGCATGTGTATGAGAGAATTTTTTTTCTTTGAGTAGCCAAAGTTTACGTCAACAAGGAGTCAGAGAAAGATAGAGAAAAAAAACGGATTTTTCAGAAAATCACGTTTGAAGAGGTCCACCCCCTTACCACCCCTGTAGGAACCCTCGCGTTGTTTGCTTCTTGGAAGTTGCCCTTGGTACGGCAATTCCTCGAAATTTACGACAGGGTAGAAATCGCCGATTTTTCGTGCGAGCCAAATTTTCCTTGTTGAATTTTCCTATTGCGTTTCCGTTTCTTCGTGCCTTTTTTTTCTGTTTATCTGATTTTTCGGCTGAATTTCAGTCTTGCCTCTCTCTTTTTCATACTAATCTTGCTTGGTCCCTTCTCAAGCTGCGACTTCAACCCAACCAAAATTTCTGCCCCAGGGTAGATTGCAATTTGCAATAAATAAAATCGCGATAACTACGATTCGTAGGGGCCTGTCTTAAAACTTCAAAACCCTCAAGAAACTGACCTTCGCCACCTGTTCCCAAGTATAATTACCCAAGAGCCATTTTCGTTCGCACCTTGAGCCACCTGTGTCTTTAACAATTCGCTGGCAAGGTACATTAGCACGTGTCATTCGCGAAATTACTTTCGCGAACTTGTAATTAGGTTATACACAGTCAATCCCACGTGACTTAAAAACCAAAAATTAACACAGAGTGAAAACCAAGAAAAAAAATAATGCAGTTGATAACGTAAACAGAGAAGAAAAAAAATTAATTAAAAACACTAATCAATGACACTAACCAAATTAAGAGCTTCCCTGTCCGAGTCCATGGAATCGTGATCCAAATTGGCCTCGTGTCCATCCTGAACATCGCTGGCGATACTCCTGTCATCGCCGCTAAGTTCAGGTCCGTCAACATCACCATGAAGATCCGCATCTGTAATGAAAAGAGATCCGATTGAACAATAAATCAGTGATTTGTCGATAATGAAAAATCAATTTAAAAAAACACAATTAAACTGCACAATATCTCAATAAGTAATTGCCTACAATCATTATTATTCTGGGCCTTATATTTCGTATGATACCGCGTGGGCGTCGTGGTAGGTGTGCTGGTAGCATGAATGCGCATGTCCGTGAAGATCATCCTTGGATCTTCTAAGAAGACCATATTAAAATCACTGCACAGCGATACACCACTCTTCACCGTCACATCGAAACTCCCTTTAAGATCCAGCACGATTACTAGCCGCAGAAAACGCGCACTTTGAGATTTGTCCCAAAAAATATTTTTATTTTAAAATTATAGCAAAATATTATTTCTGTCATCAACGTACGCACTTTTAACGTCAAGCAACAACAATTCCAATATTACATCCCCCAGAGGTAAATCAGCAACGAACCCTTGGGCGAAATCGAACGAAATTAATATGCCGGTGATAGGTATGTCGTAGAAAAAAAAAACGACGAAAAAAAATTATAAAAACCGAAAATCAGTCCCGGATGAAATATTTTTGATTCTGGTTCCTTGCCGGAAGACCGACACCGAGTGAATGTCAGAATGACGCAACACCGAGCAACCGAGCGCAGCGATGCAACGTTGGCCCTAAGGGCGCCCTATCCCCACTATTAGACACTGAACGGAGCTTGGGGATTGGTCGAGTCCTACGGATGCAGGACGTCTATTGGTCGAGGGAGAACCCTTTTGCTCGAAGGGCTGGGATTCTCTCCCTACCTTGCGAAACAACCCTTCGGTTGAGCATCCATCATCGTATCTTATGACGGACACCCTCGCCACCCCTTTTTTTCATACTATTTTTCTCCCCGCCACCCTACGTCACGTTAAACCCTACCTCTTTTACTGGCGCTTTCTGCTTCTTTCTCTTTCGCTTTTTACATCCTTTTTCCTTCGATGCCCGTACCTTGGTACCACTACCGATATATGCTGTAGGATAATGACTCGGAACCGATTTACCGATCGCTACGTCGGCCCGTAACGGTTTTTAATTATAATTGTTCCGACACGCTGCGACCAGAATCCTTTTTTCTCTTTTCATTCTCTTTCACTGCGCGACGATTTATGAGAGACTGATCGTAGTTCGATCGATTCTTTGTGTATAACGTGCATATAGTACTCTTATGGGCATCCATATGGTTATTTGGTAAATTAAAAAATTTTCTGTTAGACATGTACATAGGTATACATTAGGTGTGTACGAAGTAGCAAGGAGAGTGGCTGTGGGAAAAATCTCAGCGACGTCTGACTACCAAATAAGGGTCAGTGGACGAGAAAAAAAAAAAAAGGAAGAGACAGAGAAGGTAGAATGAAAAAAAAAGCCAACTCGGTCCATGGTAAAAGTCGCTTAGTATTTTAGCGCGACCTAGAGGAACTTTTTCCCATCGAGTAGCGTAAGAAAAAAGCGAGAAAAAACGCAGATCGGACCCATAAGTCCCCGTGGACAGGTAGAGAGATTGTTTGGACTTGCGGATGTATGTATCGATATATACATATATATATATGACTGTGTGCTTATACGTTACACAGAAGATGGAATCATCGAGCCTCAGTCTTGATTTACCGTGAAGGAGAAAAAAGTGAAGAGAAAGAAAAAAAACGTGAAAATCCTAAAGATCCGGGGTGAACTATGCTATTTTTGGGTCTAACATCCCAGTATTCTCCCCAATTTTAAAAAAAGGAACCCTGGGTCAGGTAGGCACATATCCTGTAGGATCGTCACCGGGACCTTCCAGATTTCGCTATAAAATTTCAGTTACGCATCCCCACTCCTCCTTTTTCGTAGCGACCAGGTACGAACGACGGGTTTTTTCCTTTATTCCCCAAAATTTGCATCACAGGCCCATCCGACGAGACCTTTTTTTTCCCTCGATTTCTCTCCCTTTACGAAATTACGCTCTTCCGTGAGAATATCTAAAACGATCTTCTTTCGCACCCCTTGTAAAAACGTAAAATCCCAAGCACCCCCCTTCCCTCCCGGCAAAGACTTTTTGGGGTGATTTTCATCGGTTTCGTTATAGCTCAAACGAATTTTTCTACCCTTTTTCAGAAATCTCAAGTCGCTACCCGCTTGTTACACGTATATAGGTAACATAATGGCTGCAGACCTCTGACGCACAACAAAGTTACACCAGCTGCAACGTCCCCACTACTTTTTTGAGAAAAATAAAAAAACATCGCGGATAAGGCGTAACCGTCATTTTTTTTTCTTCTCTTAAAGTTACGTACCTGACGATCACCATTTTTTTCTCTCTCTTTTTAACTCGCTCCCAGCAAACTTACGACTTCTCGACAGGCGAGAGTGCAGCAAAAATATGGCCGTTGGCGTCTGGCGACTTTTAACGGATTTTTAGTTCTCGGCGATTCTTTAACGTGAAATCGTTACTGCTCTTCCTAGACGGTAACGTATCTTTTCCTATGTGTGCTACCTATGAAAAAAGCAGCATTCACCTATTTACCTATACCTATATATATTCCGACAAAACAGTGGTCTGAAAATAGGAAGAATTCCAAAGAGTGCGAAAAGGTTTTATTATTATTTTTTATTTTTGAAAGTGCAAAGAATAAAAACTCCTTCGATTCCTATGAGAAAATGGATGAAGATCTATCACGGTGTTAAAACTGTTATTCGTTGATACTGATGAAGCTTGATTGGCTAAGCGATAGGGGCCTTATACGAATATATTTTTTGGATCTTAAGAGGATCCAAGAAAAGTCCTGAAAGGGGCTGGCAGATCCAGTGAAGATCTTTTTTGTGCCATGTATTATCTTTTTTTTTTGATCTTTGGTATATGGCTATATACATCCTATATAGGATCTTCACTTAGAAGCACCCAGTGCCTCCTACTCGCCCTAGCTCAGTTAGATATGCTGGTATAGTATGTGAACGTAGTTCTGGGCCCTATGCAATTTTCCTGTATTCAGACCCATTTAACATTTGCACGAGTGACACAGTTACCGTCAATCCATCACCCACGTATTCATTCACAAATCTGAGGCCCAGCCCCATGCAGCTGGTTGCATTATTACAGCAGTGAACCATGGTCCACAGTGTGATCCTGACCTTTATGTGAAACTGACCTTTATGCAAGGTCCAACTAGGGCCCGTAGGCCCCTCTTTGGTCAGGTGATAAAAATGGACACAGTACCACCTGAAAGATTTGAAATATTTTTTTTTCCAAATTTCCCAAGATACCCTACGAGTAGCTGTGAGAAATTTTTGGACAAAGACTTTTGAAAATTCCTAAAATAAAATGGCGACCACATACAACGTAAAAATCCCATTTGAACCAGCCCACAGGGAAGCGCCGTGGATTACTAATTTGAGTAATGACTTTCTTCTTGGCTCGAGCGATTTTAACAACTGGCCCCGGGATCGTCAGCTCGCCGACAAGATTCATTACTGCATAGAACTGCCTAATTACGCGGGGCCTGATCAACCGTTGTGCCCCATTTACGATCCTGGGCCTTAATCTCGAGTTCCGCGTGGATAAACGAATGGAATCGTGAAACCACATTGAAAAACCAACCCCGGACCCAACTCCTCCTCGATTCCCTGAACCTATTATCCAGTTCTATCTGCTCTGAGTACTCGTCGTTAAATTAAAATTGGACATCATGCCCGGTACTGTGCTTATCGAATAGTTGCTTGTTAGATAGCACGATCAAGCAACAAATAATACTCATTACCTACAAACTGTAATGCTTTGGCTGGACCAAGTGGAATCGCGTTGCGATCGGCCATTATTGCCTACGACTTTCATATAGGTATTTAATTGTGCTGGAAAGTGGATGAGATATATTTTTTTCTTTCTGATCAACGAAAAAAAAAAAAAAAAAAAAAAAA